ATCCTCAATACACTCTTGTGTTATTGAAGAGAACTAGAAAGTTACTCAAAAGGTGATATAATATCAAACTAGAATGGCTATTGCCAAAAACAATAAGACTAAAGACTAGAAAGGCATTGACAAGAGTGAAGAAGGCTTCATGCTTGCCTCTATATACACTCTTAACTAAGAGCTATGTGGCGATGTCCTATACAACCTCCAAAATGTGTTGACTTTACTAGCCACATGTCTTAACTTGCAAGGCGCCACATATTTAAAAAAAGTTAACTTATCTCAAAAGCTATAAACACGTGGTTAACTTATTAGTCAAGCTTATATCCTATAAATACATCTAAAGTCAAAACTGCATCTATAAAGCTTTGAGGAAGCTTCCCTACAAGACTATATGAAATTAATCTATATTTATCTACTTCTATCTAATCATATAAGTAACTATTGGGATAAATGTATATGTCTATGACACTTATATGAAATTGTATTATTAGACCAAATATATTCTATATTATAAGTAAAATGAGTACATACATATCAAATTTAGAGAAGACCATTAAAATTTACTAAAGTAGATATTTAATAATTCAAATAATACAAAGAATTTTTGTAGCAAGTTTGATTCGAAGCACAAAAAATGAAAATATATATATATATATATATATATATATATATATATATATATATATATATATATATATATATATATATATATATATATATATATATATATATATATATATATATATATATATATATATATATATATATATATATATATATATATATATATATATATATATATATATATATATATATATATATATAATATCATACTATATGGCTTATATTTTAATTTTAATTTTAAAAAATTAGTCTTATTTTTATATAGAAATCATTTTAATTCAATTAAAGATATTTTGTATTTTAAAAAATTTAATTATTTTTAATCAAAATTTAAAATTAAAATTAAGAAATTATTAAAATTAAATTAATCTCTAAGTTGATAAATAGCTTAAATAAAAAAATCAGTTTATGTGCTTTAAGAAATAACTAAAAGAAATTGATAAATCATTATTCTTAAGAAATATAAAAGAATAATAACATTCTTTAATACTAAATTAATTTTAAAAACTAAAAAAATATCTAAATTAATAAGTTGTGAATCTTGATTTTTAAAATTAATTTAATTTAAAAAAACTAAAGATTTGTTTACAATTTTTTTTAGCAAGGATATAATATATTTTTCCTATTTTTACTACCAAAATTTATGTTTAATGTAATTTTTTTTTAAATAGTTAGGTTATATATAATAATCAGATTTTATAAAATTTTGTATAAGCTAATTAAGAACTCTTAAAACTTTTACGTAAAATAATAGCCACATAAATCCATGCATAAACATTTTTTATAAAAGTTTCAAAAAAAAGGAAAAAAGAAAACAATTCAACTACAATAATAACAATAATAGATACCAACAAAAAGTTGTAGAAATAATACAATTATAACATTAAAAAATTTAATAAAAAATAGAAATTAAATAATTATAAAAATATAATTTATATCATCTTAAGTATGGACAAATATCATAAATATTAAATGAAATAGCTAAGATTTTATTAGAATTTTAGAGTCTTATAATTTATCAATCAACATATTATATTTTTATTTTATTATTAACAAAATCTGATAATAAATTAAGATTTTTTAAATACACATGTATTTTTACAATTTTAAATTCTTTTATCTTAAATAAATTTTATTGGATATAATTAAATAAATATTTCTTAATATAAATATATATCAAATTTAATTCATTGAAAATCAGGAGACTAAGTTATTTGTATAAAGATTATAAATTCTTCTATCTTAAAATATTATTTTTTATAAATCATTATTTCATCTTAACTATTTTTATTAATATTTATATAAAAGTAACCAAATAATTTTTATTAGTAAAAAAATAATTAACTAAAATTTTAAATATATAAATTATATAAAAGTTAATATTTTAAAGTACATTGAATTATCATAAAATTCTATTATATATGGTATTTCTTTATTTGAGTTTTTTTCTTGCAAAAATTTTATATTATTTTTTATATCATTTAAATTTAAATTAGAAAAAAATAATAAATAATAAATAATAATAAAACTTTACAATCTCTTATTTGGTACTTAGACAAAAAGATTTTTTTTTGTTTGAGCCTAAGAATCTTATGAATGGTTTCAAATCAAAAATCTTATTTTTTAATAGATGCAAAGAAGAGTTGGCAAAGAACTTGTGTTTATTATAATGAGTTTTAAAATAAAATCACCTACATATTCTCATTACCAAAATAAAGTTCAAGCTCCAAAGTCTTTCTCTATAATCATTTCAATGCATTAAAACACATTTTACTATTAGAATGAGAGATATGGTATGCAATAGAATAAAGTTTTAAAAGCAAAAAAATACATCTTTTTGCACAATGAAGGTGTAATAAAATCAATTACTACATATGTGAATATAACTATGTGCATATTAGTATTATATATATATATATATATATATATATGTCTAGATAAGAAAAATATTAAAACAATCCAAAGATTCTATTTAGTAAATAATAACAACGGTAATAGAGAAGAGCACCTACTCCAGCTGCCCCTATGACCGTGCCCGAGGGGAGGTCGGTCCTCTGACAGCCAACCAGAATACAGCTTTAACATGCCCACGTGGCTCCCAGGTTATCTCTCCTTCCTTGAATTTCCCCTTACTCTGCCACGTCCAGGCTGTCCCGTGTTTTATTTCCGGGCAGCCCAGAAACAAAAATCAAATTAAAATATTTAAAAATATTTAAAAATTAAAAAAGTAAAAGGACAAACTCACAAACAGCATGGCACCAACACAATCCTACAATCGACGCTAATTGACAGTTCACAACTACTGTCCTTGAAAATGACATCATTCATGCTCACAGGCCCCAACCCCCTTGGATGAATGAACAATCTGATGATGGATGAGGTGATGATGTGGCAATTGTTGTTTCAGTGTATATATTTATTTGTACAGTTGGAATAACAGATCAGTAAATAATAATAATAATAACAAGCATAACAATGAATTAATGAAAAAAGTTATATTTTTTTTTTAAAATTATGACTTTTAAAGATTAGATTAGACTTTCGATGTAATCAAATAATAATAGTAATAATAATAAATTAAAATTTTGTACATATTGATAGCCAATTGTTTAAGTATACATGAGTTCAAAAAACATGTTTTAACCTGAAAATGATTTGCATGATATCCACTGACAAATTCGGGTGAAAACCAATTTTGAATAAAATTAGATAAATATTTTTGTCTAAATTGTCTAAATTGTCTAAAATGTTTAATTTTGTCTTAATTGTTTAATTGTTTACACCTTTCTTCATCAAATATCTGGAAAAACGAATAAATACAAATATATAAAAGTGCCATATGTATATAAAACGTTGATCCATATACTATTTTAGGTTTTAACAATTATATTCCATTCGTATTTAGATTTTTTCCAATGGAAACGGAAAACAATATATGTGACAATAAATCATCAGGTGATTTTAAACTTTTGTAAATTTTCCAATATATATTTACTTGATAGCATATTATAGTATTAAAAAAAACGAAATGGAATGATATTATTCTCACGAATACATTTACACAATTCTTAATTTTTAAATTTTTTTAATGCATTAGACCACTTCAAAGGTAATATTTAATTAATATTTAATTAATATATTAATAATATTTAATTAGGAGAGAGATCCCAAGTGGTCGTTGATTTTTTAAGAGCACAAGTTGCGGGTCCACGTCAGCGGTAGCGTGGGCTGGTCTAGTGCCAGCTGGAATCACAGAGGTGGGTACTGGAAGTGAGAGCGCGTTCCCTTCCAAGCTCATCACAGGGCACATGTAATTCATCCATCGGATTCGGTCATTCATCCATGAGAGTCTCCAAGCAGTTGGTGTGTTCACTGTAAGATTCTTTTATTTTTCTTTTCAAAAGGACCATATTCTTAATGCTTGAGTTTGTAATCAGTACAGTAAGCGAGGTTATCTTTGATTTGAACTTTTGGTTTTTTTATTAGAGTGAAGTGAATTACACAATTTCATGGTTAAGTCTTACATGGCACTGACATATGAATTCAAATTTTAATTCAAATTTTATTGTAGAAGCTGTTAGCTATTTGGTAAAATATGTGTATTAAGGAACAGACAAAGGTAATGAAATGAATTGCCATTCATTATTATATTATAAAACAGGGAGTATGTGTTTCTGACTATATATATATATATATATATATATAGTACGGCTTGTAATGTTTTCATACCCACAATTCTACCCACAGTTTTTTCTCCCTTAATATTCATACCTTTGCTATTTACAGCTCATATAATCGATTCCCGTTACATGCACATGTAGAATTAATCCTTTCAAATCCCAGGATTCATTGTTATGCAATAACGATTGATTGACATGTATAACACATTTATTGTACTTATGACACAATCAACAACCCAAGATACAATTAAAAAAAAGAAGCGGAAACATTCGTGTGGAACCTCCATATCGTTACCTATGCCGTCCAAAAGGCGAAAAGTAAAAGTAACAGAAAAAGCATAAATACAAAAGCAAACTGACAAATCCACAGGGATGGATAGGATATTGGAGGAAGGATCGAGGAAAGACAAAGCCAGAACAGAACTCCGAGAACGACGTCATCCATCCACAAAATATCATCTATCAGTGAAAGATCATTTATCTACTTGAGGGAAACAGAGGGAGGTGTCGGAGAAAGCTGTGACCTATTTTGTAGCCGTTGAAGGACGTTGGGGCGCCGGGCCTGTCCTCGCGATCGTCGCAAAAGCCCCCGCAGGTCGAAGAAAACCGAGAAAGAAAAACGGGGACGATGAAGAAAGATTGACCATTGCCGTGGTAGCATACGGAATACGGTCCCATTACGACTGGCAGACGCGTTGGGACGGGCATCGCGGGCGTCGACGACAGTGTGTGCGCGCAAGCTGGACCCTGCTGCGCACGCATACTACAGAGCAGACCCCAGCGGCAGACTCGCTCCACCTTGCCGCGGTTTCGTGTTGCAAACCTCGCTCACTATCCCTCCCTCCCCTGCGTGTTTTTCAACCTGCGACTGCCACTGCGCGATCTTTTTCTTCTCTACCTGTGGGATCAAGTTGGGAAATTCTCGTACTTGACACAGAGGGGGAGAGAGCGAGCAAGAGAGAAACAGTGCTGAAGCGCTCAACGAAGTATATTGAGGAGTTGTCAGAGCTCATGAGATAGTGTTCATATCAGCAGATTCGTTTGCGGAGTGGGGGCTGGAGGAGTGCTGGTGTAGAGCTTTCAGGCTTGGTGGAGATTTGTTGTGGTCGAATTGAGGTGGTGCAAGCGGTAGTTGGTGTCTAAGGTAGGTGCCTTGTCCAAGTCTCGTGAATCTGATGCTCAACTGGAAGGGATTTTCTTAATTTAGCCGCACTCGCCGAGATTTTTTTAAAACTTTGATAGGTGCATGGCGATGGCCTGGAGGGTTCCGTAGAGGTCTTTGCGATGGTGGTTGCAGTTTTGGCAGTGGTTCTATGCAGATGACTCTCCCTGTAGGGTTTTGTTTTGTCCGTGCTCCGCATTGGTATCGTGCTGAGAAGTTGAAATTCGAAGCATTTGGGTTGTTGTTCCATGTTGTGGCCAAGTCAATGAGGTCGTTGCGCTTGCGTGACGAACAGTTTTCCTCTGTGCTTGTCCATCTGGTACAGTGCCTCAGCGTATAGTTAGGTTTCCCTGTTCTGTTGTTTGACCCCCACAGGTGACTCATTACTGTAGAGTGGAGTACAAAGTGCCCTTCTGACGACGATCAGCGGGGCACCTCCTCACCGTGGCTGCCACCTGCACTAAAGACAGGATGTGAGAGTGTGGCACGTTTGAGCTGCGGCACTTGCCTGATTATTTTCGATTCTGACGAAGTTGCAGTGTCACTGGCTTCTACTCGTTGTTGCAATCCTAATCACGTTGCTTGTTTATCCTTGGCCTCTGATCGCTGCAGGGTGGGGTTTTACACGCTGATAGCTGCTTAATCGACCGAGGTTGGCAAGGCTTTATGTTGGTACAATTTAGGGTAGCATCAGAATCTGTTTTCTGATTTTCATGGTGGAGAGCTAGCAGAGCTCACAAAGGGTGTACGCAGCCATGGCGTCGCCAACAAGGCCGAAACTTTCCATGTCTGGTAACAAGTCGTTTCGGAACTATAGCATTCCGCGGGGAGGAAGTCCCCGCCTAGAGAGGTCGACTTCGCCAGCGTCGACGGGTCATGCTCGGCGAACCTCAAGCGGTCGCTATGCGGGGTACTCCCGCGACGAAAGCGAGCTGGGCGGGGAAGTGACGTCGGAGTTTGCATATAGTGTGCAAATCCCAGCCACTCCCGATTTCCAGTACATGTCTGGTACTAGCATGTCCGGCACATCGCCCAGCGTGCGACCCATGAGCCCAGCCATCGCCGGGAAGGCCGAGCAGCAGTTTGTTTCCAGCACCATCTTCACGGGTGGGTTTGAAACAGTGACCAGAGGTCATGTTATGGACAAAATGATGGAGATCGAGGGGAATCACCCCCAGCTAGCTTGCGCCCCGGGCACCATCTGCGGCGTGGTAGGGTGCGACGGCAAATCACTTCGTGACGAACGGGGGGAGGAGCTGTTCCCCTGTGAGTGCAAGTTTCGTATCTGTCGAGATTGCTATTTGGACGCGCTGGCCACGCCCTCCGCTCGATGCCCGGGCTGCAAGGAGGATTATAAAACACCCGATGAAAGCCCTCGCGCCGGCAACTTCCAACGTTTGCCCACTCTCAGCGAGCGAGCAGCTAGAATGGAGCGACGGTTATCTCTCCTGAGAAATGCCAAGCCCGGCAGCCAAAGTCTCATGCAAAACAACGCATACTCGGACTTCGACCATTCCCGATGGTTGTACGAGACCAAGGGCACCTACGGATACGGCAATGCCGTCTGGCCAAAAGACAATGGTTACTCTGGTGGCGGGGGTGGCACTGACACTGGTATGGGCACTGGTCCCCCAAATTTTGTCGACAAGTCCAAGAAGCCTCTCTCAAGAAAAGCTCCAATCTCTCCTGGCATCCTCAGTCCTTACAGGTTAGAAAGTTCTCAATTTCGTATATCCGATTTTTAAGCAATAGCTATTTCGAACTAATTTTGTGCTGCAATCTCTCTAGGTTTTCCTGCGCTTCGTCTAACCCTTCTGAGTTTGACTCGCAGACTCCAAAAGAACAGTCTGTTGTTTCTGCAGTGTTGTGTATGTGAGGATTACTGCGATGAATTCAATCGAAATTAAAGAGATGAAGGTGAATTCATTGTGTAGTGGGGGTGTAGTTTGTAGTTTGCTCATATTTAACGCATGTTTTGAATTAATGTGATGTGCATGCAGGCTCCTCGTGGTGATTCGAATGGTTGTGCTAGGGCTCTTCCTCACTTGGCGGGTGCGGCACAACAATCCAGACGCAATGTGGCTGTGGGGAATGTCGATTGTGTGTGAGATTTGGTTCGCCTTCTCATGGATTTTGGATCAGCTGCCGAAGTTGAGCCCCATAAACAGGATGACGGATCTTAAAGTCTTGAAGGAAAAGTTTGAGTCTCCATCACCGGCAAATCCAGATGGTCGCTCAGACCTCCCCGGAGTCGACGTTTTCGTCTCCTCTGCTGACCCTGAGAAAGAACCTCCACTCACCACAGGAAACACCATTCTCTCTATTTTAGCTGCTGATTATCCTCTCGAGAAACTCTCCTGCTACTTGTCTGATGATGGTGGTTCTCTGCTATCCTTCGAAGCCTTGGCAGAAGCTGCCAGTTTCTCCCGTATCTGGGTACCTTTCTGCCGAAAGCATGACATTGAGCCCCGCAACCCTGAAACTTATTTCCTCCTGAAAGGCGATCCAACGAAGGGCAAGAGTCGTCCAGACTTCGTGAAAGACCGCCGGCGAGTGAAGCGTGAATATGATGAGTTCAAGGTGCGTATCAATGGCCTTCCGGATGCCATCCGCCGCAGGTCAGACGCTTACAATGCTCACGAAGAGCTTCGTGCCAAGCGGGATCAGTTTGAGATTGGGCTCGATCCTTACGAACCACTCAATGTGCCCAAAGCTACGTGGATGGCGGATGGGACGCACTGGCCAGGCACTTGGACACAGGCTGGCAAAGAACACGGTCGTGGCGACCACGCCGGAATTATTCAGGTACTAAACTCAATTCACGAACTAATCTGGATGTTTCAGGGCGTTTCTTGCCTCCGCACTTGCTCCTAGTTAAGGATGATGTTTCTAACAATTTCATCTGATGTAGGTAATGCTAGCCCCGCCCACGTACGAGCCACTTATGGGAAGCCCAGAGTCCGAAGAGAACATTATCGACACCTCGGACGTCGATATACGGCTTCCCATGTTGGTGTACGTCTCCCGAGAGAAGCGTCCCAAGTACGACCACAACAAGAAAGCTGGTGCCATGAACGCGCTTGTGCGTTCCAGCGCCATCATGTCTAACGGGCCGTTCATTCTGAATCTGGACTGCGACCACTACATTTACAACTCTCTTGCACTGCGGGAGGCGATGTGCTTCTTCATGGACAGGGGCGGTGACCGCTTGTGCTACATCCAGTTTCCCCAGAGGTTCGAAGGCGTAGACCCTAACGATCGATACGCGAATCACAATACCGTCTTCTTCGACGTCAATATGAGGGCACTAGATGGGCTTCAGGGACCTGTGTACGTGGGCACGGGGTGCGTCTTTCGGAGGACTGCCCTCTATGGGTTTGATCCTCCCCGTTACAAAGAACATCCAGGTCTGTGGGAGACCATCTGCTGCGGTGGAAAGAAAAAGAGGAAGAGAGTTGCACCCAGGCGGGAAGTAGAGGTCGACAGCGCGTTGCATGGTGCAATTACGGTGGCCGAGGAAGAAGAAGAACTCGAAGCTATGATGTTACCGAAGCGATTTGGGGACTCCGCATCATTTGTTGCGTCGATTCCAATTGCCCAGTTCCAGGGGCGCCCCCTCGCAGACCCCGGTGTGAAAAACGGTCGCCCAGCAGGTGCTTTGACTGTTGCTCGAGAGCCCCTGGACGCATCCACAATCGCAGAGGCAATCAATGTGATCTCCTGCTACTTCGAGGACAAGACCGAGTGGGGAGGGCGTGTAGGGTGGATTTATGGGTCTGTGACGGAGGATGTTGTCACAGGGTACCGGATGCATAATCGTGGCTGGCGATCGATTTACTGCGTGACAAAGCGTGATGCGTTTCGTGGAACCGCGCCCATTAATCTGACTGATCGGCTGCACCAGGTTAGTACATTTTCTCTAGCGTTTTTTCAAAGAAAATGTATTAGTGATGTCTCGATTGTGGTCAGAATTTCGCAAGTCTACAAGACATCTATCCTTGGATGATCTTTGTCATACCCATCAGTACGTTCAGTTCAATAGCTAGATGGACTGCTTCTTGCGGATGATGGGAGTGGAACTATCCATGTGATATCAGAAATCATCATTTTCCATGTCGTAGCTCACTCCATCACGAATCTTGCAGGTACTGCGGTGGGCAACAGGGTCGGTTGAAATCTTTTTCTCCCGCAACAACGCCCTTTTCGGAAGCCCACGATTGAAACTATTGCAGCGCGTTGCGTATCTGAATGTCGGCATCTACCCCTTCACATCAATCTTCCTCCTCTGTTACTGTTTCCTTCCCGCCCTTTCCCTCTTCTCCGGCCAGTTTATCGTGTACCAGCTCAACATCACCTTCCTCGTCTACCTCCTCACCATCACCATCACCTTGTGTATGCTTGCTCTTCTCGAGGTCAAGTGGTCTGGCATCACGCTGGAGGAATGGTGGCGAAATGAGCAATTCTGGGTGATCGGTGGCACGAGCGCTCACTTAGCTGCCGTCTTTCAGGGTTTCCTGAAAGTCATCGCCGGGGTCGACATCTCCTTCACGCTTACATCCAAGGCAACTGGGGACGAGGGGGATGACGAGTTTGCCGATCTGTACGTGGTGAAGTGGAGCGCTCTCATGATCCCTCCCATCACCATCATGATCACCAACGTAGTGGCTATTGCGGTGGGCACCTCGCGCCAGATTTACAGCACCATCCCGGAGTGGAGCAAGCTCATCGGCGGCGTCTTCTTCTCCTTGTGGGTGCTCTCTCATCTCTACCCCTTTGCCAAGGGCCTCATGGGCCGCAAGGGCAAAACTCCGACCATTATCTACGTGTGGTCAGGTTTGCTCTCCGTCATCATCTCCCTCATGTGGGTGTATATAAATCCGCCTTCAGGAACTTCTGTCACTGGGGGCGGCCTCTCCTTTCCTTGAAAATTCTTTAGCAAATTTCCAACAGAAATTTGCACAGCATAGCTACCGCTAACTTGCCCGACATTGGACTAGCATCGGACCAGCTCACTTTCAGCTTATCACTTCCGGTCCCTTGCACGCACACATGCCTTGAGGATTGCAAAACTGGACTCGGAGAGATCCAGTGCGGCTGTATCGAAAATTGTGGGAACTGACCCAGAGTAAGGAATTCTGGTGCACATCATTTTTCTGCTGTGAGCCGCAAAGAAGGATCTTGAGAAACGAAAAACAAGCGGAGCAAGCACGCGGCGTTGAGAACTGCAGGTGCCGGTCATAACCACTGACGAATCATCGCCCCTCGCAGTGTAGATTGCTCATTGCGAACGGTGATTAATGCGATCCTCATGCATCGAGTTCGGTAAGATGAACCTTAGGCATTCAAGTCCATGGGCCTAGCGCGTTGCATCTTCTGTAGAGTTGATCATTTGTTCAATAAAAAATTTGACCCAGTTTTGAAACCTCAAACTCTGATCCTAATTTGCTGTGCCTAAATGCTAAGCTACAGTTTATAACTGCCACGTAGAAGTAGATATGCAGATTAAAGATAAGCTTTCCAAGTGGCTTCTATATTCTGAAAGAGATCGTGTCGCACATGACGATTCTTTTGCTTCAGTCATTTTCGAAATGTTCTGTGAGCCACTGAAGTTCTCTCGAACGCTTTTATAACATGTGATCAATTAAGTTGCCAAATTTGGTAGCATTTTTCGTCCTTCCCCACAGTCGAGCAAATTCTTGAGGGTCCATTGTTTCCAAATCTGCCACCACAATTTGGCCTTGGTTCTGTTATCCACGCCGCCTGGACTGATTCCCATAGATACCCGGGGTTGACTTTCTCCAGTCCACCAGTCAATCTGATGTTTTGTATGCGTAAGTCGAATCGGGAATCGAAGAGGCGTTGATGGAGACACGGTCTTGGTGCACCGACAGTATGCTGAACAGGGACTTAGACACGGTTCGATTGTGGGGATCGTTATTCATCCATTTTCATCCACTTACGTTTCATTCTGTTCATCTATCCTCGTGCCTGTCAATCGATCCATCTATTCATTCTCATGGTGATATATATATATATATATATATATAAAACCTAATATGCCAATGTTTCAAGAATACAAATCCCTGCATGAATATGGTAATGAAACATGTCTTCATTTGGTTTTGCTCCTATATAACTTGCACACTCCTCCATTTTTCCTATGGTGCGGCTCTTTTCAAATCAAGTGGTTATGCCTATATCCATCACATTGGCTATACTTGAGAACACACTTTTCTTGTTCAACTTTTTTGGTACAAGTGCGATGCTTCTTTGGATGCCCAGGTAGGTATCTAATCAATAGTGGTTGGAGTTTAATAACATCCTTGTCATTGTACATTTATTGATTTTTTCATAGAATGGAAAAAAAAAAGTATTTAATAGGTTACATAATATGCAACAATCATATAGAAGTTTGCTACAAAGATTGTAATTGGTTGGCGTCTAATTAATAGTATACTAATTGCGTGAAGACTTCAAAGATTTGCCAACATTTGCATAAGCATTCTTACCTTTATAAATTTATAATGATTGAGAATTTCTTGGAGATATATTCAATAAGAATGTTAGACAATGGTAATATCTAAAATTAGTATATATTTTTTTATAACTATTACATATATATTATTAACTTTTTAGAAATTAGATATCAAAGATAAGAATTTAAAGAATATAAATGAATGAGTTTTTTTTTTAAAAAAAAATAAATAAATAAGTAAAAATATATATTATTTTTTAAAAAAAAGAAACTAAAATGGCTACTACTAAAAGACAAGAAAATTATAGTTTCTTGAAATTAGACTAGAAGCAAGAAAAGAGTTTATAAAAATAAAGATAACTTCACTCTTACCTCCATATATACTATCTAACTATAATATATGTGGCAATATTCTAAAAGACCTTTAATACATATCTAACTTACAAGACATGTATCTAATTTGTACAACAAGCTTTTGATATATATATATATATATATGCCACATATCTAACTTGTACTACAAGTGATCAACAAGTGCAACATATGGTCAATTTATTGGCCAAATTTTCAATCTATCAATTATTTATAGAGACATATAAAGGTGAAGCCATGTTTAAAAAGCTTTTCTACAAGATATTAATAAATTTATCTACTATTATTTATTTCTATATATTTATATTATTTGAGTAATTATTGAGATAAACATATGTATTGATGACATTATCCTTATTATTATTATTTTTTAGAGACAAGTGCCACAAAGAGCAGTAATTACATATTGAAAAAGTCTAATATACAACAAATTATATTTACCACATATTTTGATCTTTATTTCGTTTAAAAGATGGAAAGACCACTTTGATATTTGAAAAGTCTAAAGTATCAAGTTATAGTTGATAATCATAATTAACAAAAAAAATATGTTTATTGAGTAGAAAAATGTATCATATTATTATAAGAAAATTTTACCAATAATAAATGATTTATTCAATCATCTTGATGGTAGTTGATAGTATACATCAAATATTACTTTCAAACTTGATTTATTTGTTTTTTTTTGTCTATCAATTTAAGGATGAAAAGCCAATGATAATTTTATGTCTACCTTCAAAATCTTAAAAAGAGTTTTTTAAAACTTTGATACAAATTGAATCTTTTTATCTAATATAATATTCATTGATAATCCATAATAGCAATTAATGTTATTAAAAAAATTAATTATTTATTTACTTGTGATAGATTTTATACATGATACAAAATATGCTATCTTTGTGAAATAATCTATTATTACAAATTTAAAGTTATGAAGACTTGAAAATAGAAGATCTATGATAAAATCTATAGAAATAAAAACTCATAATTATTTTGGTAGTGGTAATAGTTGAAGAAGGTCTGTAAGATCAATATCAAAGAATTTTTTATTTTGAACAAATATTATATAATTATATGAAGTTTTTAATTACCTTTCATATTTGAATTAATAAAAAATCTTTTAATATTAATTTTAAGATCTTATTATATCGAAAATATTATATAACTAGATAATCGTAATAAACTTAAAGAATATATAATCATGCTTTATCTTCTGGAATATATAAGTGTTCTTTGAAATAAAGTAGATTGTTCTTGAATTTAAACTTGAAAGTATTATGAAATTTAGATAGACTATTTTTGATATCATAAATAAAGAGATTTGAAAATGTACTTCATTAAACTTACTTGAAAAATATTGAATTAACAATTAATATTGATTCTATTGTTAAAAGATTAAGTTGCTTTGGCTTCAAAAGAATCATTTTTTGTTGATCAAAAGTTGTATTTCCTTCTTTTAATATAAAATAAGAATGTCTAGAAAGGTTATTTAACAAATCTTATTATTTTTTTAGTTGATACATGATCTTAAATTCAAATCTTAATAATAACATGCTTTAATGGATTTGGAAAAAATTTGAAATATGTATTGATATAAAATACTTGAAATCTTCAGATTTATATAAAAAATGACCAAACTTAAAGCACATTCTAAATAATGGTGTCATTTATGAAATAAATCTAAAATTGTTAGAAGTTCTTAGTCATAGATCTTGTATTTGATTTCTATTGTTAAAACCTTTTATGAATAAAAAGCTATTAGATGAAGTATATCATTTGCTTCCATTTGTGATAATATTGCACCTAAAGTAAAGTTTGATGCATCTATTTTCGTAAAAAATGCCTTAAAAAAGTTAACAATGAGTCTTTTCTTACTTAATCTATAATAGTTTGAATTTTCTTGATCTATCATAAAACCATCATTTGAAATGATGTGTCCTAGGAATTTGATTTGAATAATATATATATATATATATATATATATATATATATATAGATATAGATATATTTTTCAATTTGATGTGTAGTCTTGCATCTCTAAGTTTTTGTAATACATGACAAACTTAAAGTTCATGTTCTTCTATGTTTTTAGAATAGATTAAAATATCATCTACGTAACTTATAACAAAATTATCCAAACGTTTTTTTTAAAAAAATATTTGAAAGATATTGAAAAGTAGTTGGTGCATTTTTGAATCCAAAAAGCATAATATTATATTCAAAATGTCTATTTAATTCAAAATATTATCTTTTATTTATCTCTTTCTTTAATATATATATATATTAGATTGTATGTTCTTTATAGATGTATTTTTGTATAGATCTTAGTTTGATTCAATTATTGAAGAAGTTCAAATATATAGGATATCTATTCTTGATAGTAGTATTATTGAGCCTTCAATAATCTACATACATCTATAATAATTTTTTTATTTTTTTATAAAGAAGATAAGAGCTTTTTTTGGAGATTTTGAATGGTATATGAGATTTTTGGCCAAGTTTTCATTAATGTTCTCGTTAAGTTCATCTACTTATTTTGTGATAAATTATAGATTGACCTAAATGGAAATTGAGTTCTTTCTTGAAAATCAATTGAATAATCTAAGAAACAATATTTTGAAAGAATATTTGTATTTTTTTTAAAAAAAATATCTTAATAATCTTGATATTGGCTTAAAATGTGACTTGAAGTCTTTCCACCATTAAAAATAGGTGTCACAAAAATAACACAAGATAGCCTTTCTTTTGCAATATGAAAAAAAGCTCTTGCATCTACAAATAAGAATTTAGTTGTATTAGACATGATTTTGTATTTGATTAATAAAACTCTTGGTTATGCTTTAGAAAAAGTTAAGACTACAAGATATCCAATCTATTTGAAGTTTATACTATTCTATCCATGATAAATCCATAATGAGTAAATTAGAAGGAGATTTAATAAGATTAAATATCATAAAATTATTATGACTATTAGTTGTTATTTTTATAAAAAAGATTTTATAGATAATATCTTCAAAAGACAACAAATGACCATCTATGACTTCTATATGTATTGATTTAGTTTGTAAAAAGATATATTATATCTTTTTACAAATCTTTTATCTAAAAAAAAAATTAATGCTCTTGAATCTAGTAAGGTAGAGGTTTGGTGATGATTAGATCCTAAAGAAACATCCATTGTAAAACAATGAAAGGATTTTAAAGAAAATTAGACCTTTACTAGGTGTTTTACAAGATTTTAACTACACAATTGCTTTTATATTTGAATAAACTTGTTTTCCAACATATTATCTTCTTTGAAAGCCATACTCTTTATTTTGTGGTTGCATTACTTCTATAGATAATGTTGAGAAATGTGCTCATGTTCTCTATAATATAAGTTCAATCTTTTTTGACAACAATGAGTCTTTTCTTACTTAACAAGAGATTTGAAACATACTACATCAAAAATTAAAATTTTAAAAATATTTTTTAAGTATATACATTTATTATAGCTATATATATAAAAAGAATACTTTAAAAGATTATTTGTAGAATTTTATATTTTATAAATATTTCTATGTTTTCTATAACATATTCTTATATATATAATTATACAACTAAATTATTTTGAAAATACTATTTGATTTTATAATATTATAATAATTTATATTTAACTTTGTTCTAAAAAAGAAATTCAATGGAAATAAAATCTAAAATCTAATAGTTTTTTTTTTTTTTTTTTTTTTTTAATTTTTTTAAAAAGATTACATTCATCCGTTTAAAATCTAAATTATTTTACAAAATATAATATACTAGTTTAAAATTATTAAACAATTATTTTATTAAGTGGTTATTTTTGACCAAAAATAATAAAAATTACTTTTTAACACTAATTGTTTAAAAAAATTATTTCTCATTATAATAATTATCATATATTTTAAAATATCATGTTCTATATTGAATACACCTATAATTGAAATGTTGAAGTGTTTCATATTTTTTTGGTAGTTCAATAATAAATTAACAAATCAAACATCTCACAAGTAGCAAAAAGGACATGTAAGTGCAAAGGCTATTTTAAAAAAACACACAAATTGTAATTGTACTACTTTCATTGATTTAGAGATTTTGATTGATTACGGAATATGTATAATCAAGTGAAAGAGGACTATTTGCAAAATAAATGTTGTTTATATATATATATATATATATATATATATATATATTTTAAACACATTTGTACACACTACAATAAATGAACAAACAAGCATAAGCCCATTGTATTTACGTATATCTCAAATTGCAGAGACAAAGCCAATCTGCTGAGAGATGCAGAAACATGGGCTCTAATTTTTTTCTTCATTGTAGACGCTGAGGATCTCCATTCGCAACTTAGCTAATTTACATGACAGGTAGCCAGGTACACTTGTTGATGGTCACATGGACATTAACTTGGACATATCTCGTTCAATAAACAAAAGATCGCGGGGGGAGACTCAAAAGTAAAATTTATAATTCAATATCAAAGCATATTCGCTAACTTCTGGTTACGTACCTCGCGTTTCACCAGTCCAACTGTACTGCAGCAGACTGGAATGCCCATCTCAAGGCCACCCTGCAAACTCACTTACACAACACATTCTAATGGGAGGAACTAATTTACGCATGAAAATGAGAGACTCGTACCTGCGTGCATTTGCAACAGTTGCCCAATGAGGCACTCATAATATCTTCAGCAATAGGCTGGATATAGACTCAAATGCACGGGTCGAGAGACTTGAAAATCTGTAGGCTTCCAAAGTCACAAATTCATTCATTTAACCAGAATAGGACTGCTTTGAGCATACTTCAAAAGCGATTGTATGTACATTCCTCTTTGTAGAAGTGTAAGCATAGCATTACACTCCCACACTTGCCAACTCGGAGAAGTTGAAACTGTTACAGTAAAATGAGCAGAGGGATTCAGAGAAGTCTTTGCATAACCGATCACTTTTGAGTCAGTCGCGCAATCACTTATCTCGTCATGAATTAGAGGCCACAGAACAAGGTGTGGGCTAACAAGAACTGTTCAACTCCATATTGGAGTGGCATCACGGTTCCTTTTTCTTCCAAGTATAGCTGCCTTTTCGATTCGAGGCCCTTGCAGTCGCCATTTTTTGAAAGCCTTCACAGAATCTCGGCCTGCTTCAAACACTTTAAGAGGGAAATTCCATATCCGTCAGCGCATGAATATGATGAGTGACGGAAGAACACACGCTAATACAAAAATAATTTACTATATCCAACGAACTTAAAAACAATGCAGCAGGTTAGAAACTCACGTCGAGTTTCTTCCTCAGTGAGATGAGGTAAAAACTTTAAATTCCCGGATAAAGTAGCTGTGAGAGCTTTGCACAACAGGTCTTTGTAACGCCCTTGCAAAGTGGTCAACAGGAAAGGTCCCAGTGTAGGATCCACGCTCCTGTCATCCATAAATAGCAACTGATATGTTACAAAAAACGAGACATAAGAAATGAGCGCAATAACGTCATTCACAATTTAAAAAATCATCACCTAATAACAGGGTATTTGAGCCGTGTTTACTGTATTGATCACACAATATTTCATGAGGAATATTTCTTGTACGAATCTTTACATTCTTGAACTCGACTTAAGGAAACGAGGTAGAAGGAGAAGGCTCACAATTCAACTAGTTTACAGCCCATCTCATAGTAGAAGGGGCACTTGCTATGAAGATCTACACATGCTGGATCTGCTTGCACTTCCTTGCGGACCCTGAGCACATTCTCGAGTATCAGAGGCAAATTAGGCCTGCACTGTTCATGTCTGAAGTGAAATAAAAGTACCCGATTAGATCCTATGGTGTTGTCCTTAAAAATGAGACTTGAGGTCTTGTGTATCCTCTAACAACTTTCCCAAAACAGAATTCGGTTACTATCATAAGTAATCAGTAATTTGGCTTGACATGTTCTGCCATGGTTCTCAAGCTCCAACTCATTGATCAAGATGGCTTTTGACCTGATCTAACTCATAGATGGCAAAAAGGTCGGGAAGATTGGCACCATCGTCATGAAAATAAGCTTCAAGATGTGAAATAGTGAATCGAGATGTACCTAGCGTTGAAACAACTGGGCAGCTTTATGTGCAGAATTTGCCGTTGGACTAGATCTTGGGCTAACCAAAGGGGGAGATCTACCACAGATCCTCGAGCGACCTGAGAAACATCAGCAGAATAAACCCCCAACCAATATCATTCAACAGTTCGCTCCACACGCACATCTCGAGTGGGCTGGAAACCCTAAAACTGATTCCTGTGAATTTCGAAACACTTACGTTGTTATCCTCTGACGACGGGTCAAGAAATCCAGCGCCATTAGCCTTGTGAAGAAACACGGTTGACACAGTCTGCGAAAATCCCTCATATAAGCACTAAAACCCTCTAAATTGCTCACAATAAAAACAAACGAAAATCCTACAATTGAACACACGCAGTGCAGGGAGAGACTCGTTAAGAGAGGAACTGCATAACAGACAGAATTCCTTCAGCATCCAATAATCCTTCTATAAACTCCGCAACTACGACGTGCCCCACAAATGAAATGATTCAAGCAAAACAAGAAACCCAGCAGAGGAAACAACCCAAACGCAAGGAGCTGCGAGCCCACCTCGTCTTGCATCAAAATGTCCTGGATGTCGTAGTAGTTCGCCATCGCCAAGGCCTTCACATCTGCAAGGCGAGGCCCGACGCGGAGCTTGCGAAGCCTGTGGAATCAAAATGCGGTCGGATTTCCCACGCAGACCAACGCCGAGAGCATCCACGAAGCGCGGGACCTGCTTCGCAAGCCGCGGGAAATCGAATTGTAGGATTTGGCGGGAATCCCAGCGAATCGAGCATGGTTTGTTTGGAGCGTGACGTGGCACAAAAGTGCATGTATCCATGATCGCAGCAAACATTGTTTTATTTTGAGAAATGATCTTTGAGACATTAATATATTTTACATATTTCAATATTTTTTTCCTCCGTGTTGAAATTCATGTTTAAATTAAATGACTGGCATTGCATTATAAGTTGCAAATACAGTTGGATGTTTCTTAAAATATACTGAGTATATTTCAAAGAGTTCTCCTAAATTTAAATATTATTTCAAGAATCTTAACATTAATTATAAGGTATAGTCTTCTGAAGTTAATTTTTTACAAGTAAATGTGTTTAAAACTATATTTTTGATATATAAATATATATATAGTTTTTTCTTTATTAATTAATATCATCCATTTGCATATTTTTATATATATATATATATGTATATATATCATTAGAGGTTATTAATTATTAAAGGCAATTCCTTGATGATTGGATAGAAATCCACTTTGCAAAGGTCCTATTATCTTGGTTAATTGCTTCTACTTTAGTGGCTATATAGTTTTGTCAGCCTTATGGCCTTGCTTTATTCAATCACATGTAAGTACTTATCTTTATTAATTATTAAATTTTAATAAAAATAAATAAAATATATGCAAAGTGACATGTTATTAACTATACATCATAAAGTCACTTTCCAAAATCTTGATTAATTATTAGGAATTATTAGTTTTGAAAGATTATTTGATAGAAAGAAATATATATATATATATATATATATAGTTAGTCAGTTAGTTAGTTAGTATGTTTACAACAAAATTCTAAAAAATATTTTATAGTTTTTTATTTAAAAAAAATAAATATGTCTCTAAATAGTACTCTTGACTTACACTTCTTATAAAAAATAAAAAAATTAATTATATTTTTTTGATTTTTCATAGAATTTTATGTCTAATAAAGAAAATTTTAGATATTTTAATAAAATAAAAAAATATTTTTTTATAATAAATTTATACAAGCATTACTAAAAATACTATTTTTTGATTTTATTTAATTAAAAATAGATAATATAATACAAAAATTTGGAATAATATAAATCTTTCTTATAATTATTTAGAATTACAATAATAATATACAAATAAGAATTTTTTTAATCAAGGACAAGTACTCAAAGAATGTACATAAGTAAGTGAGATGTATATAAAAGAGAGATGAAAAAATGAAATAAGAATGCATGTATATTTAAGATGAAATTAAAATAGCTATTGCTAAAGACAAAATAAATTAGATACTCTTTAAACTAGACTAGAAGCAAAAAAGGAATTGACAAGAATGAAGAAGATCTTACTCTTATTTCTATATATTTCATTTAACTAGGAGCTATGTGACAATGTTTATAGGACTTTCAACATGTATTCAACTTACGGAATACATGTCTAACTTACAAGCCAAGTTTTCTATATGTACACCATATGGCCAACTTGTAGGCTAAATTTTCAACCGACCAATCACCTACAAACATATATAAAGTCAAATTTATGTTTAAGAAGCTTCTAAAAAAATCATCTATAAGATATTCTATAATTTTATCAACTTTTACTTACTTCTACCTAATTTCTCTTTTTCAAGTAATTTCTAGTATTGGTTGTATTTGTGACAATACCTTATTTAAGAGTCTTCTTTTTTTTTTTTTTTTTTTTTTAAATAATTGATAAATAAAGTTTTAAAGTACTTTTAAAAATATATTGCAAAAACTATGTAGAAGTATATTAAGAGTATATTTGTACAAAGGTAAGTGATTTTTGGAATTCCATAGAATTATAATAAATTATTTTCTAACCAACTTTAACATTTATTCTTCTTAAATAGTTGAGTTTTTTATATTAAATTATTTTAATATAATTCTTTATCTAAAAAATATTATTTTATTTTATTATTTTTTTAAAGAGTCAATCTATGTCAATTTTACATTCTTTTGTTAATTATTTGACTATTCAATGGACTTTTTTGAAATTAATTAATATACATAATTGAATCTTGATTTCTTTTGAACCTTATTTAAGTGATCTAACAAGTAGTTTACAAAATTATTATTAATTTTATTTATTATAAATATATATAATCTGATAAAAAAACATTATATAAAATATTTTTTGAAAAAAATTATCAATATTTTAGAATATTATTTTTGAAATAATTTAGATTTGAGATACTCCTTATAAAACTTTTATAAGATCATGTTTTTACAATAATTTTTGAAATCTTGCTATTAACCACAAGTACATTTTTTTTGATTTTATAAATTATTTTAGATATTTTATTTTTATTTTTAAATTACAATATTTTATATATATACACTTACATATATATTCATGTGTATGTATGGATTGTACTACCACATTGCTATGTACAATTATAATAGTTGTTGTAGATATTATGCAATACAAAATATAAGACTGTTGGATGCTAGAGATAATACTTATTGCGCAGCAACAAGGAAGAATTGCAAGTAAATAATAAAGCTCAACATTAGAACTATGGAAGTGCAATAATGAGCAGTGCAAGATGGCTTAGGGACAAAGCTTGTTATTGTTCCTACAACAAAGTTAAATTTTGCGAGATGTTAGGGATTATGTATAAGACAAGGATTCAAGACTAAGAAATGGAGTTAGCTCGACATTAAAACAATAATTGAATATAAAGCAAGAAGGTCCTGACTAAACCATAAGAAGTGAGTTGTCAAGACTGAGAATCCCTTCAACCTCGACTTCTATATATACTAGATCCTAGAAAACTTCTTCAAAAATTTCTATGATGCTTTGGAACAAAACAAGCCTAAAATCCTTCTTCGACAACTTCCTAAATCATCTAAAGCCTCCAAGAACCTTCCAAGATCTCCTATGATTTTCTACAATTTTTTTAGAATCTACTAGAACCTTTTGGAACCTTCTTAGAACCTATTGGAATCTTCTCGAACCTTTTAAGATCTATAAGAACCTTCTTAAAATCTTCTAGAACCTTTTTAAAACCTTCTAGAACCTTTTCAAATCTTCTTCAGTTGTATGTTTGTGGCATCACTTCTTCCTCGAGCTTCAAGGTCTCTAAGAAGCAATATTATTGCAAGTCAGTTTTTGTATAAGAAGTTGAAAAATCTGTCGTATAGTGTCCACTATATATTCTAGTTATTTTTTATAAGGCAAATTATTCATAGGCCCCTATAGCCATCGATAGTATTCCAAGCCTTTTACTTCTGACCAAGTATGAACTTTGGTATCTTTATTATGGAATTGTCTTATAAATATTCCTTCTAAGCATCCTTCATAAGCAAGTTCAAGCTATTGTTCTTGATTTCATTGCTTTTGATCTAGATGGATGTCATTGATGGAACTTTTGAACCTTCATTTGTGTATTTATAAGGTTATTAGTTCATTCCCACATGCAATTAATGATAGCATATTTGTACCAATAGACTAGGTATTCAAGTCTTTTATGTCTTATCCTTGAATTTAATACTAATTCTACCTCAAATTAAAAATGATCATTGATTTCAACGATAGGAAGTGGTGGTTGTCTTCAACTTGGTATGTTTGTTTTTTTATACCTTTCATAAAGTGAAACATAAAAGATTGGATGAATCTTCATGGATGAAGGTAATTCCAAGTGATAAGTTATGTTATTGATTTATTTTTGAATCACAAATGGTCCCAACCTTTGGTAGTTCAACTTATCATATAGCTTGTTGTTTTTTATATTGCACCAAAGAAGCCACACTTTGTCTCCAACTTGGAATAGAGGATGTTCCTTCTTTAATTCATCTGCAACTACTTTATAACATTGTTGAGCCCTTTCTAGATGAATATAATAAGGTATAGAAAATATAATTATATAGATAGTTAGAACCATGGAAGTTTCTAGAATTAGGGTTAGATTAGTGGAGCAAGTAGGATCTACCATGGAATATTTTAGAAGAGTTTAAGATGGTTATTTAGATAAGATCCATTGTAGAATCTTTGAAAAAAGGATTAGGACGGTTATCTAAGTAGGATCCACTATAGAATCTTCTAGAAAAGAAGTTTAAGATGGTTATTTAGGTAGATCAACTACCTAAGAACATTCTAGAAAGTCTATGGTGGTAGGACAAGGTATAAATAGGATTGATCAGGGCCTTTTAGGGCATCTGGTCAAATATAGCTTTAGATCCCTTTTCTTAGTAAAGTTTGGTTTTGCATCCTTTTGTTCAATTTTATTTTGTTTTATTTCTGTCTGCTCAGTTGTCTTTCATGTCTTATTTCGCATAGTTCCATTTAATTCTATATTTATCTATTTTGTTCTATTTTCTGATGAGATTTTATATTACTATAAAATAAAAAGATCTTAAATTTTTTGAAATAGTCTGGTCTTGTTTCATTGGTATCAGAGCAAGAGTTAGATTATTTATATTTGGTAGCATGTCAATAGTCATCATATAGTCCAAAGTCACTTATTATGGTTATACCTGGTACTGTGTTGAAGCTACTATGAGTTACTCTTAAAAAGTCAATCGGGAAGTGAGAAGGCATTACAATAGTATAGTCAAGTGGAAAAATTATAGTGTGGGAGATATGACAGAGCAATTCCAAATAGAGGTTCAAATACAACACTTTTTAAGCCAGATAGCTACTTTGCAAAGACAAGTAATGCATGAAACTCTAGTTTTGTCATTCATAATTATATAAGTATAATAAAATAATGGAAAGATTTGAAAAAGAATACAAGTCATTTTTTGGTTTATGATAATAAAGAATCCAGCTGCATGGTGTTGTTATTTAAGAAACACAATAAGCAAGACACAAGTAAGTAGAAATCAGCAAGGTTAGACACAAGAGAAATATGGAATGAGATACCTCTCACTTCCAACATCCTTTACTTATAAGTAGAGATTACATCCATTTTGGCTAGTATTCAACTTATTTTCATCCAATTAAA